GGTGTGGGAGACACAGTCTACCTGTCCAACCAAACAGCTGACCTCTGGGCCCGTTGGCCCTGCTCACTGCACATCAAAGTGTCTGGGAACTTGCAAATGCCACCAGACCTCTTCCTAGTTTGTCTTGGTCTGGAAGCTCTACTGAAATCTACTCGGTATTATAGCGACAAAACAGCCTCCAGTGATACAGGACTGTTGGCTGTGAGTCAAGGGTGTTGCCTGGGACTCAAACCGAGGTCTTCCACGTGTAAGGTGAAAAATCTACTACTGAGCTATCACTGTGCTGTCTTCACGTAACAGAAAAAACAAACAAACAAACAAAACCACTACCCTCCATTCGACTCCTCCTCACAGTGACCCTATCGGGCAGAATAGAACAGCCCCATTGGGTTTCTAAGACTAGAAACATACAGCCTCACCTTTCTCTCACGGTACGACTGATGGGTTCGAACCGCTGACCTTGCTGTTAGCAGCCTAACACTTGACTCCTTTGCCCCCAAAGCTCCTTTGTAGTAGAGAAAGGAGCTGGACTATCAGCCTGGAAGCTGACTATAATGTTTACTGATCCCTAACTCCACCACCCATTTAGCCTTTCGGTATCCATGTGTGGACATGCATATTTTAATGTAAAACCAGTAACCCTATTTAACATGGTATCAGCTATTTTAACACAGTTTTTAACGACTGTGTAACCTGTCATACCATAACCATGTGGGGAAGGGCAGACACTGTGCTATGGGGGGCTCTGTGCTCAGTGGTAACATTTCGCAGACCCGTGTCCCTGGAGGTGGGACTGTGGGCTCCTGAAATGTACATGGTAAGGGCTTTGAGCACAAATGGCCGAACCATCCCCCCCCTCCCCCCCTCCCCCCCGCCGCAGTGCGAATGGAGGGGAAGAGGCTGAGTGATAGGTACAGCAGGGTCTTTGCACCCATGGAAGATGTAGCTTAATTAATTAGAACCGGAGCGATGTCAGCGGCTTCTAGGGCTGTGTGCTAATGAACCCGGCTCACTGAGCTGGAAGGGGTTGTGGTCCCTGCCAGGCTCCAGCCGAGACGCAGCAGCGCTTATAATCTGGCCCCCGGTTCATCCTAATCCAGTGCTGGCAGGTGCATTTTGGCCTGCATCGAGAAATTCTTTCTGCTTAGATGCTCCACAGAGAATCCCAGGCAGTTTCTTTGTGCTGATAGGGTGCAGATGGTCCCTGACCCCACTCGGGAACAAACATATACACTTGCTCAGTCCCCGTTCTTCCTATCACCCCCTCCCCAAAGCCAAAATCGGGCCAGACGGGGAGTGAACAAGAACCTGAACAAGACCCCCTCCACAGGCAGCCCTGGTGAAGGAGGAAACAGCCAAGCCTCATTCTCCAAAGCTGCAGGATTCAACCAAGGAGCGATGGTGGGACAGTATCTGTCTGTCTCCCTAGAATGAGTGACAGAAGACATGGTTAGGTCATGAGGCTGGATGTCAGACAACATTCCAATA